CGGTTGGTTGGCCGGTTCGGGCCACTCGGCCCGGTGGGATGTCGGTTCGGGCTCGGGCCCTTCAAAAGGTGAACCGGCCCGGCCGGTTCAAGCCCGGGTCGGGCCAATTTTTTTTTTTGTTTTTTGATTTTTTTTTAAGTTTTTGGGTTGTGCTGGGTATTTTGGGCCATTTGAGGTGGTTAGGGTTGGTTTGGGGGTGAGGGGGAGGGTTGGGGGTTAACTAGGAAAAGCCAAAAAAACACCGAGGCCTAGCCTGGCCCGGATTCGGGGGTTACCCGGGCCGGTTCCGGGCCTCCCCTTCATGAACCGAGGCCCGAACCAGGCCCGAACCGGAACCAGTCCATCCCTACTGTGAAAAATGACAACACAATTATAAAAAAAGGCAATAACAAACCAATAGAAAAATAAATGACGACATCATCCAAACGTTAACATAAAACAATTAAAACATTATACTCCATCCATCCCTATTTAAAAGTATTTGTTTCCTTTTTGGGGTGTCCCCAAATAAAAGTATCCTTTCTATTTTAGGCAATAAAATTCACACAAAAAGACCTTCCTACCCTCATTTACTTCTCCCACCTCCTCACCTTTTCGTATTCCACCCACTTCATTTACTTCTCCCACCGCCTCACCTCTTCCCCTCTTTCCTCTTACTCCACCTTCTCCATTTACTTCACCCCACTCGCACCGCTACATCTTTTCGTATTCCACCTTCTCCATTTACTTCACCCACTCATCTTCCCCTCTTCGTATTCCACCTTCTCCATGGCAAAACCAGGTGCTACGGACGAAGTGGAACAGAAATGGTTGGTAGATGCAGAGGTGGACACCGCTGTTGTTCCGGACTCCGAAGATCCCTCGGTTGGATCCCCGATTTGGCAGTCGCCGTCGGCTGGAAGCCCGATTTGGCAGTCACCGTCGGTTCGAACCCCGATTTGGCAGTTGGAGTCGGCTGGAACCCCGATTGTCCGTAATGAGCAAGAGTGTTTGATTGTCCCCGACTCTGAAGTTCAGTTTGATGAAACTGAGAAAGCATGTGCTGCGATTGACCTTGAGACAATGCTCCTTGATGCGGATCTACGAAATTACCGGCCTCCTGACATGCAACTCCGCATGAATAAGTGGATTGCCATGATGCTCCCTGGTTATGTGTTTGATAAATAAAGGTCGTATCCATTCTCCTACTTGTATGCTTACCTTACCAGTTCGGAGCCACTAGGGAAAACCCTAGGAGGCTTAGGTAATCTGTGATTGTGGCGTATATGAGGCCTCAGGCGTGTGTGTACTTGTCTGAGGTCAATGATAAATTGTTACCTGTGTTTGTGATGCTTGTCTGAGGTCAATGATCTGTGATTGTGGTGTATATGAGGCCTCAGGTCAGTGTGTACTTGTCTGAGGTCAATGATCTGTGATTGTGGTGTATATGAGGCCTCAGGCGTGTGTACTTGTCTGAGGTCAATGATAAATTGTTATCTGTGTTTGTGATGCTTGTCTGAGGTCAATGATCTGTGATTGTGGTGTATATGAGGCCTCAGGTTAGTGTGTGCATAGCGGTGAGTGTGTGATGCTTGTATGAGGTCAATGATGAAACTGTGAACTGTTTATGTGTGTCTGAGGCCTCAGGTCCCTATATAAAAGCATCCATTTGAATGGCAGTGTGTGCATGATGGTGAGTGTGATGTTAATGGAGTTGGTTCATGTCCTAATGAGTCACCAGGGGAAACCCTAGGAGACCATGGGGGTTTGTAATGTGAATGTCTTCAATGATGAACTGTTATCTGTGGTTGGTATGAGGCCTCAGGTCAGTGTGTGCATAGTGGTGAGTGTGTGATGCTTGTATGAGGTCAATGATGAAACTGTGAACTGTTTATGTGTGTCTGAGGCCTAATGAGTCACCAGGGGAAATCCTAGGAGACCATGGGGGTTTGTAATGTGAATGTCTTCAATGATGAACTGAATGTAATTGGTTTTCTGATGATTGTAATTCGTCTGTGATGGTAGTGTGTGCTTCCTATGTGGTTTGACCCCTACTGAGTCACCAGGGGAAACCCTAGGAGACCATGGGGATGTGTGGCAAGCATTGTTTACAGTCAAAATACAAAAGTAGAGGTTGCATTAGTCACATTTGTGTAGGTATAATGAAATGCATTACAACCAAATTTTTGTGTAGTAAACTATCCAAAAAAGCTATCCCTGAACATGTCTAGTATTCCAAAAAGTAGAAATTTTGAACACTTTCCATGTTCACAACCCTAAAACAGTTTCACCCTTGTCATATCTTAACTGTTGCACTAGTTTGTCAATCTATCCAAAAAAGCTATCCATGTCTTCCAATGAGTATGTACTCATTTTTTAATGGACTGAACATGTCAAGTATTCCAAAAAGTAAAAAATGTGAATACTTAACTTGTTCAGTCCCCAAAAAACACTTCCACATTGGTCAATCCAAGTTCATTCCAAGGGCAATTCTTCAGTCACCTCCAATAATGCATTTGAGTCAGCTTTGAAACAGATTGGTAGGTTACCTTGAGCTTCTAGTTTACTTTTTCCTACATGTGGCACCTTGTAGTTATTGCCTCCCCTGACTTTCATAATTTCATTCATACACAACTGTAGAGTCAACCAAACATGATTCAATGCAATAGGACTGAACTGAGCATAAGCACTTTCCACCCCCACTCTGAGATCATGAACTGAGTTCCTTGGTGTGGTCTGTTGCAGTGACTGAATAGCTCTAAAAAACCCTAGATCCAACACATTTAGATCAGTGCTATTAGGAGACTGACATATTAGTTCAATGTTAAATCCATCTGAAGTGGCATCTCTTATGAAGTCAATATCAGTTGGATTGATATGAGGTCTTGCATTGTCTTGTTGTATGTAAATATGCTTGCTCACACCTATAGGCCACTTAGCTTTGATAGCAGGCAATACGAAACTGAGAAGGCATTCCTTGTAAACATCCTTTGTGATTGAAACAATAGCTTTCTCCTCAAGTGTGCCAGCTTCCCTGTGTTTACTGTTTCTTTTAGCTGGTTGCATTGTACTAAATGGGAATATTCCAATTTTGCCATCAAAAATCACTTCACCATTTGCTTGTATAATTGGTCTGGCAACTGCACACAGGAACATCACTTTAGTGATGAATCTTTTAGATTGACATGTCCTATGAGGCTCAACCTCATCCAGATGTAGGTAGTACCTCTGTGATGCCTCTGTCATGTAAAACCATTTTTCATCCACATGTACCACGTTAAACATGCCTTTATACTGGGGTACATTTGTTACTGTGTCCTCCTCAATGTTAGAAATGATCCATTTTAACGTCTGTATTTTATTCAAGTCTGTAAGATGAGGTTTGATAGCTGATGTGTGACTTTTGAACTCACCTTTTTGTTTGAGTCTGTGCACACATGATTTTGGATGACCTAAAGCTGCAGAGAGTGACCTGAGATTCCTTCTGTTGCTTAGAGGAATATGCAGCATTTTTGACAGGTCAATGACTAAGCCTTTCCTACCAACTTTTCCCTTCATCCTCAGATCTGGGTTCAAGGGAATTCCAGATGCCTGTTGTTGCATGAGGAGATGCCATATTGTTGATATAGCCTTCCGGTGCATCCGGAACTGCTTGGCTATTTTTGTCAAGCTGCCATAGCCAATCTTTCTGTCATCTTGCCTTTCACTTTGAAGAAGAAGAGTTTGGATAGTTCTTCTATCTTCATTCGACAGCTTTTTGTACTTTGTTCTTGTAGCAATTTGTAACTCAGAACTTTCTGCCATTTTTTGCTTGACAAACTGATGTAATTTGGCACTACTTCGTTGGGGTGTTGCCTTTTTAATGTTGCTTTTGGGGGGGGTTTTGAATTTGATGATGACAGTGCAGTCATGAAAGGGAATACTTTCCCTCCTTTTTTTTTGGGTTGGCGGCAGCCTATTAATAAGAACAGATAAAGCACAAGTCTGAAAAGGTTGCAGTGTACTGTTGTGAACAGTACACTGGTAACTTTAAAAATTACCCCCCACCAATTCGAAGGACAAAAAGGTCAGTCAAAGGGTGAACAGTAAATCACCTAAAGATGTGTGTCATTCAAACGGGCACTTTTAAATAGGGACGGAGGGAGTATTAAAATCATGAGGTACCCAGTACCCTATTGAGTTGACATTTTAGTATGACACCACAAGTCCCCAAGTGTTAAACATGACTATATAATGCCTATGTGACACTCCCATCCAAATATAACTAGCCCATGTTCATTTTTAGGTTCTTAAAGAAATTTAAAGAGTTCGGGTAATTCAACTTTCAAGTCTCGACCCGAGATCAAGACTGACCCCGAGTCCACCCCTATGTATTAATCTTTCCCATATCCTGCATAGTTTACAATTGTACAGTTATTTTGAAGTGTAAGGAAAATTAGAACTAATTTCAATCTCAGACTAAACTAGAGTAGACTAGGCATGGACCGGTTCCGGTTCGGGCCCAGTTCGGGCCTGGGCCCGGCCGGGCCTCGGTTCAAGATGGGGAGGCCCGGAACCGGCCCGGTTAACCCCCGGGTCCGGGTCGGGCCTCGGTTCAATTTTTTTTTTTTTTGGCTTTTCCTAGTTAACCCCCAACCCTCCCCCTCACCCCCAAACCAACCCTAACCACCTCAAATGGACCAAAAACCCCAGCCCAACCCAAAAACTTAAAAAAAATTCAAAAAAAAAAATTGGCCCGGCCCGAGCACGAACCGGCCGGGCCGGTTCACCTTTTGAAGGGCCCGAGCCCGAACCACCATCCCACCAGGCCGGTTGGCCCGAACCGGGCACGGAACCGGTTCACCGGGCCGGGCCGGGCCCGCACAGTAGCGGGCCGGTCTGGTTCCGGGCCGGTTGGCCCAGCCCGAGTCCACCCCTAGAGTAGACCAGACCAAATCAAATTGTGAAAGTTTTTTTAAAGGAATTTCGACAGTTGTGAAATACATATTGATTAGACATCTACCATATCAAACTAATTCAGACCGGACAAAACTTTAACAAACCAAATCAAATATTACCTATTTAAAAAAATCAGTCCAATTAAAACATCCTTGAATCATCACAACTCAATATATAATTGTAGTGGTTATATTATTGGTACACTGTCAAACAAAAACTCAACAGATTGTAAGTGTATGGTCTTATAAAATGCAAAGTGCCTTGGTGGATATTTAATATAAAAAACGGTGGAGATGGTGTAATAAGTTTGAATTTGGCAAAAAAAAAGTCTTAAAGTTCATCATCAATGGCAGATGCTTCGCTATCCGGCACAAGTTCATCATCAGAGGTCGGTGATTGTTTGCTATCCGGCAAAGACAAAGGTGTATCCTCTTCTGTATAAAGAGACATCCTTTCTAAAAGTTCTTGGCAGTCGAGAGAAGTTACCATCACAGACACATTAGTCCTTCCTCTCCAGCATCCAATTGCAACCGTTGACGCATCCACTTGAGAAGGATCTGACACACCCACACTTTCTGCACAAGAACAAAACACAACATAAGAGGCAAGCCGTAAAAAAACTTCAAATCCTTCCGAATATTGTTTTGCACAGTTATGAATTGGACCTTTCTTTAAAATAACCACACAGCAACCCAACAATAGATTTGAAGCCTTCTCTCCAAGGTTAGCATCGATGAAGTTGGCAAATTTAACACTTTTATGCTCCAATAGATGCTTGAAGTCGATGGGAGATGCATGTAGAATCTGTTTGGTTACATGGGGCAGAAGCAACGGCAGCCCTTCAGATGATATTCGGAACAAACATGGCGCAGATGTACCATCTTTAGATGTTTGCCTTTCCTGATAAATTTAAGAAATAAAGTATATTGTCACAAAAAATATCAAAATGGTAAAAAGAATTACCATTCTCTATGTCCCTCTCAAACACAAGTGTGTTAAGGTAATTTGCAGGTTACAAATGCTCTCTGCATAACAAACACCCAAATTCCCTTCCATCCAAGAAAAGAGATGAGCAAACACGCTCCAATTGGAATCTTTAATGCAAAATGAAATAAAAGTGAAGATTCTAGAATGAGCTACTTACAAACATCTTCAGTCCAACAGAGGCTATCTTAAGTTGCTGTCCAACTACAAAATTGAGTTCAAGAACCTTCTTCACTGACTTCGATATGTAATAGACTCTCTTCACATGGTTCATATCAGCATTTCTTGTAATAAGATGACCATCAAATGGAAAGGATTCTTTGATGCCATAGAAATCTTTGATCTTACCAACAACTTCTTCTTCCCTGTAAAAGATAACAGGGTCAACCCCTCTCCACCTGCCTTGAACTTGTAATTTCCTTTTTCCTCTAACCATCTCTGGATTAGCTTCCATATTATTGTTAGAAGGTTCGATGCCATTTGCTTCATTCACTTCAGGCGTTCTACCAGACTCTGCATCAAAAGCAGCATCAACCATCTCGTTATCAGTTGCATTGGTATCCCTAGTCAATTCAGGAAGAACAGTTGAAATCTCTTCCAGCTTAGCTTGCATTGGATCAGTATCTTCTTCTTGGACCTCAGTTGTTAACTTCTCTGTTTGAATATCATTGTTATTTGAATGCAACTTCCTGGGCAGATTAACATGATTTTTAACATCTGCAAATGTAAACACCCATTTGGGTGTAATGAGATTAACCCTGGATTAAAGGAACACATCGTCATTACCATTGTTGCATTCATATTCAACTATGTTTGGGTCGGTAGCACAAAGTTTTTAGTGTCAAGTAATTGTGTAAAATCACTAGCATGAAGTTTATAGTGTCATTTAATTTTGTGAGATTACTTCACATTCATGCAACAAGCATAGCCGACAAAGTTTTAAGCCTCATGGACTTCCTAATGCAACCTTTTACAGAGGATTCACAAGATGAAAATTTCAAAAAGCGGTCACTGTCATCGATTTTTTCACTAGCTTTACGGTATCTTAAGACGGCAATGTTTTAAGATACTTTTATGGTCATGTTTCGTTATAAGATCAATTATTGTTCATCAGGCAATCCAGGCATGTGCATGGCCCTATTACAAGTACACCTCATTTCATTTTCATTTACCCCAGTGCCGCAAGGGCTCCCACCTACGGTGGGGTAAGAGGGGTCGGATGTACGCAGTCTTACCCCTGTACTAAAGCACAGAGAGACTGTTTCCGGATGACCCATAGTGAAAATCGTGTCCAAAATTGCATGGACTGACTGCTGCTTCATAACAAAGAAGCACAGACAGTTTAGTGAGTCATTTTGTTTTATTCCATCATAATCTCAAGCCAAAAAATAATGAATCTTTGGCTCCATTGCAAATAATGAATCTTTGGCTCCATTACAAGTACACCTATAATATGAAAATAATCAAACCACAATGCTGTCAATATATTCAAACGCCAATTAGCAATTATATTTACGGATTTACCTGGCAATGGAGAAAGTTTGCGAAAGACTGCAATAAAGAATGCTCCAGTATTCTGATCATGAGGTACAATCCTCATACAACGTTCTAAAGGTAGTGTCGAGACTTCCTCCTCAAAGAAGTCAGCAGAATTTGTAGTTCCTTCAGCCATAGGAACCCCGTTTGTGGAACCTCTGTGGCCAACAATGTCACTGATGTCAATAATGGTAGAATCGCTACCACTTTCAGATGTGTCGACAAAGCTCTTGCCAGAAGGAAACATTCCAGGCACTATTGCAGCTCTACGAGATTTAGGAACATCTCTGTAAGAAGCTAACCATGCTCCTTTGTCACGAACCTACAACCATATGTGAACGACTATAAAATGACAATATATATCAAAAGTTTATGTGCATATTAAGGGTTCTACCTAGAGCTTATGTCATGCATATTTATTGTATGAAGCGTGAGCAAGTGGAAATGTAATCTAGTGAGAGTGCTTCTGACTCCAGGGCATGTCTTGGTCAGATTATTTTAGAGTACCTTAGGCTATAAGATAACTTCACCGAAGGTGATACAATATTACAGGGGTAAAAGATATGTATGTGATACATATCATTTTGGTCATGTGTACCAGAGGCGCATAAAAGGGTCCAAATTAATTGTCCACAAGCTGTCCTAATTATTTCCCTTTAGTTATTCTAGTGGTCTCCTTTATTTCTGCTTTCCTTATTCTAGTTGTTTCCGTTTATTTATGCAGTCTAATAGTTTAGATCTCTCTCCTAATAATGTTTAGGACCCTCAATTCTGCCTATTGTTTCCGTTGGAATAATAGATTTCTTGATTTGCTGGTGGAACCAGGGATCACCTTCCTTGCCCGGGGCAGGAAGTTAGAGTTTTTTATTCCAACATCATAGCTTCAAATCCCCCCTTTCATCATCAATGGCCTTGGACGAGATACTGTACCAAGGCGCTTAACAGTTTAGTTAATGCTATGATAATGTGTGGATTACCAGCCAATACCTATAAAAAATGGGTAATGAGATCGCCCAGCCTACCATTACTTCATTTATCTGTGTGACAGTAATATCATACTATACTGGGTCCAGATAACCCTGACAAACAAGTTATCAGATTACAATCTACGCAATCAGATATAACTTAAACCAAGCAGTATGTATGTCATAGGTCACGTGTACATCCGAAATTCCTAATTCAGATCTCTTTCCTTTAGTCTCCTGCTCCTCTGGCAGTATATATGTCATAGGTCCTTCATTCATTCTTGAACTCTATATTCAAAATCCATTGCACGTTTGTGAAGCACCAAATGCTTACTAGGAGGTGCACACATATCAAATTACACTAATATGGACTCATGGAACATAGTCTCTTCACTCTAGAATCAACAAATTAATGTAAATTTAAATATTTATCTTGCACAAACCTTCCATCGTTTAAGACCTGGCCTCCGGATAAGCTGAGGAAGCTCACTGGAGACATCAACAAGTTCAACAGACTCCCCACACCTGCGAAGAACCTGGGAAAAACAATATATTTGTCATTTTGAACTGCCTTAATAGATACAGTATTCATAATGGTGTAATCTGTAATTGGAACCAACCCCACATTATGAGGAAATAGAATGAAATGCAACAAAAATTTGAGGAACACAAAGGTTAAGTACAAGTGAACTTTCAAAAGACAAGAGCATAACTATGCCAGTTACACTTAACTATAACAAAAAATAACCAAAGTTACAACTCAATTAAGACGATTTATCATCCAGTTTAAAAAAAAGATCCAACAATAGAAAAACACAATTGAAGCCAAGATAATTAAGATTGATTATTATCTAGCTAAAAAGAAATGATCCCAAATATGTTCCCAGCAACATGACGGAATCAGTATCTTCTTCCACTACTGGCTTTGTATCAACCCCAGTAGATCATTAACGAATCATGGACTATCCACAAACACTTTTTCATGGTAGCAAGAGTGTGAATTTCTTCCAGAACCGTGAAGGCACCATGGCAAGCAATACACATTAATCATCATATTATATAAAAATTATTTTGGGATACTCTGAATTACCTCCGCAACCACTGCCTCATTCTCAATGGGGTTCATTGAGCAGGTTGAATAAATCATCCTCCCCCCGACTTTAAGCAGAGACATGCCTGTAATGAGTGCACAAAAAATTCTGTATCCCGTTAAGACAATATAAAGGGAAATACTGTACAATAATTAGAGCAAATGTACTGAATGGATTGTATGGGACATTGACACTGAAGAGTGATGATAAGGTTGTAACTATAGTAGAAGTCATGGAAGCCTTTCTAAAGCAAGCTATTTATTTGAACTGGTGCGTCAAAACAAGATAAATTGGACGCTAACCTGCTCGTAAGGCCAAGTACATAAGCTATAGGGTGTTTATAAGGTGTAACCTAGCTCATGAATTAGTAACTGCTTCCAATTCCAATAAAAAAAAGTGCCAATTGCATGGTATTCACACGAGGTTCCTCTTTAAAAAAGTCCCCGAGAGAGTTTAGTTTATTCCTGATTTATGTGTCAATTTTGCGAAATCAATTGATATTACTTGTGATTCTTTACTTTTTCTCTTGATTCTTTTCCAATTTAGCTGGATAGACCAGACCAGACCCTCAAACTCTATTCATGGATTAACGAAAATGCGCAAAAGCTCTATTTGACTCTGCCATTCTATGAGTCTCTTCCTTTTTGCGTATGGCAGCGCCACTCCCTTTGGCAGCATCGACTAATTCGGAACTTAATTTGAAAGCCATATCTTTTCCTGGACATTTTCGGGATATGTGTTAGCTAATTTATCTTTTTCTTTACCTTTACTTCTTTACACATGCTTTTAGACATTAGAAGGCAAATCTAATAGATATATATTCTCATGCATATACAAGTCTAAAAAGGAAAAAGAAAAAAAATGAAAAACAAAAATCAAATAAAACTTATAAACTAAAAACCCTAGATCAGCTACAAAAGGAACCTCGCATGGCTATCTGAACTTGTAGGCCATGCAGACCATTGCCATTTCCTCCATTCCTGAAAGACAAAATAGGCATTACTTTATCTAAAACATACTTGTGAAAAAACAGCAAGACTGAGTAATTAGCTACCATTTCCTCCAAATATCAGGTGCCTTACGCAGGGTACCATCACCACTGCATGGAACATCACACAACACACGGTCATATCTCAGCTGTGTTAAATCAGGATCCTCTATTTTCGCAATCTCATAATCCTCTGCATGGCGTCTATTCAAATTGCAGCTTGGGAAGTGCTGAGCTTCATGATTTGTGACTATCAAGTTGGCAGTACACATTCTCTTTGTTTGATGAATAAGAAGATTGCATCTTTGCACATCAGCATCATTTGCTATCACCTGTAAAACAATAACAGAAGGATACTCAGAAATCCAATCAAGATACGAGATATCTAAGGATGAAGAAGTAGCAGAGTAGCCGTAATTTTGGTTTGTAGGAACATGGAAAGTTGAGAGAGCATAAGGAAAAGAGAGTGACCATCCCGTTGGGTAATGACCCAGGTTTCACTGAGTTGTATATCATCTCTAGTAACTGAAATGTTTTAGAACCAGGAGCTGCACACACTGAAATGAAAGGAATAGTCTACATTAACAAATAGGCTCTATTCTGTTCTATGATGCAACCATTCATGAATAACCAACTAGACAAGATAAAAAAAACACATCAGAATAGTTTTCCATCACTTAAAGCAATAACTTACTGTCAAGAACAAAATGGTCAGGATGTACATCCAGGAACAGTGGAGGAACCTGAATAAACGATGAAAAAGTAAATTTCAGTACTTTATGTTATGCAGCGGTTATGGATAATAACCTATTTTGAAGAATTAGTCAAGATAAGTGGCATTGTTGTGTTCAAACTAAATGACATTTCCATGCTCCAAAACAGATGATCAAAAGATTCACCTACCATGCTCACAGCCTCCTGTCTTGTAATGTTGCCAATTTCATTCTGCAGTTTCAAGAACTCATGAAATCTGAAAAAGTTTTACCCAATCATGCTTTAAACAACTCTTCAATACACAGATTATGTACAAACACAAAAATTTATCACTTACCTCTCAAGTGTTTGGTTTTTCCGCAACTCATTCCGAGAAAAATTGGACTGCCAAGCAAGGTTCTTAGGATACCAAGGCAACGGTCTGATTGCTTCCACTTCACTCCCATCCGTAATCTGAAACAAAAAAAATGCATTTATTATCTTTTACCAAACAAGCAGTCTTTTATTAACAAGTAATACAACAACATCCAAGCCTTTTATTAACAAGTAATACATTCATTATTATTAAAAATTGTTCAACCTCTGCCTGCAGGGACTTCACAAAATCATTCTCTAACTTTGAACGGATATCCATATAGCTCTGGCAACTGCAATATGGTATGGACAAAAACAAAATGACTAAATAGCAAAGAGATTGGATATGGTTGACATTCAAGATTTGCCTTGACTTTGACAGGAAGATAAAATCTTTCTGCAAATTATTATGATGTGGTAAATAAAATTCCTATCTAGTCATTTTCAAAACATGTTTTGAAAAAGATACAGAGTACAAATTGTCTTGTTATGATGTATATGCAAAACCAGTAGATACTGTCCGGTCACAGCAGTGCTCATTAATATGACTTCAATCAATTAATTCACTCCATGTCTCCATACAAGGACTAGTTCTCAATTTTGTACAATAGAAATTGGGTATATATAAACACTTAATTCCCAGGTATACAATGTAAACTTAAGATACACTTAACAAGAAGCAGCATACCTCTATTCTACTGAATTTTAAATTTTTACAAGAAGCAGCATACTTCTAGAAATTACACATTCACAATTTAACACGATGCTATGTATATGTCTAAAAAACATGAAAAGTGAAAACTTCTCACAGCTAACATTTAGCCGTTTCAGAAACTCGAAGGTAAGATGGAAACTCAGAAACAGCAAAACTGCAAGCTTCTGTCTCGGGCCATTTCCATTACTAAAGACTTGGGAAACTCAATTTCCTAACTATTCAGCATCTCAGAAACTTTAAATTGCCATTTTTTCTTTTTACTAGAACTACTTGCTGGGAATTAGTACTCCCTCCGTCCCAAATTGTTTTGCAAAGTAAAGATTTTTTGGTCAACCAATAAAAAAAGTCAATGCTCTCTATCGATAATTAATTCAATTTTTAATAATTAAAATTTATATATTCAGAAACTACATTAAAATATCTTCAAAGTTGTAAACTCCAAATTATAATATAATTAAAAATTGACATCTTAATTAAGCAAATAGAATGAAACTGTTTGACCACGAAAAGTCAAATTTGCAAATCAATTTGGGACGGAGGTAGTATGTGTTTATTAAATGTACTAATAAATTTTATGGGATTTCTTCTTATCAATATGGTATTAGAGATATTTCATATTGCACTGTGTTGCTAGAAATGTATCACGATTTACATTTAGTAACGTGCTAATACGTAAAAATTCCTTTAACTGAACATATACTGTATACGCTATTTTTAGCATTGGTTATTTAGCAATGTTAAATGCTAAGCAGCATGGAAAGTTCTCAGGACTCGTGTTTCCCCGTTTCGGAAACTCAGGAGCATGAAAACTTCACATTCCTGTGTCAGGAACGCTTCTGTTATTAAAAAGAATTGGGAAAACCGTTCCCTAATTAATAAGGTTGCAGAAACTTTGAGTTTCCAATTTTATGGGATTTGTAATGGATGTTTTTAGCAACATCGTCTTTGTGACATTTAATAACGCAATACATTGCTGAAATTATATTGCATTTATATTTAATTATATACAAATACGTAGTATGTAATAATTTCTAAACTTGAACAAGAAAACTATATTTATTATTGTTTATAAACGAAGTAGTATAGAAAAAAAATATGTGCGTACACACACATATATATAAAAATATGAATACATACATGCATATATATTTATATTTTTATATATTGACGCGCTAACTCCACGTTTCATATCCTATATTTTATGTAGGGGTGGTCATATCGGTTTCGGTATGGTTTTTATTGAGTTTCAGATCGTCTTGGTTTATAACGGATTGAAAGAATGATTACCAAACAAAAAACATACTATGTTTCGGTTTGCTTTAATTTGGTTTGGATTTTTTAATTTTTAATAATATACCCGTATTATAATGTTATTGAATTTTTTTAGTTCAGTTTGGTTTTATTCGGTTTTTAACTTCACAATGAGATCAATTTTTTGATATCATGCATGTACGAAGACAAGATACGGAGGAGGTGTTGTGGTAAGCGTGTGATGGCCAACAATTTTACTTGGTCACATCAATTTCACACGGGATTTTCACTATGGGTCATCCGGAAACAGTCTCTCTGTGCTCTCTGTGCTTTAGTACAGGGGTAAGACTGCGTACATCTGACCCCCTCTTACCCCACCGTAGGTGGGAGCCTTTGCGGCACTGGGGTAAATGAAAATGATGAAAATGAACTGACATAAAGCAACATGAATCAAAATATGGATATCCGATTTCACATGTCGATTAATGTTAGCCGACTGCAAACTCTTTTGAGACTAAGGCTTGAATGTTGTTGTTGTTGGTTTACTCAATTTTTATGGGTTTTGGTTTGGTTATGTTTTAATACACTGTGAAAGAAATGCTACCAAACTAAACCGAATTACATATGGTTCGGTTTCAGTTCAGTTAGGTACAGTAGATTCTGTCAAACCGAATCTGTATGTCCACCCTATTTTTAACCTGTATGTCCACCCTAATTTTATGCATCTTTATTACATCCTACTTAGGTTCTATGAAGAAAAATGCATGTATACATGCAAGAAATATCTATATATATGTATGTGTGTGTGTGTGTGTGTGTGTGTATATATATATATATATATGAATTAGATATAAAAAAACATCTAAAATAATTTACATAACTTAAACAATTAAACAATAGAACAACTCATTGTTTAAGACTTAGGATACTTATTATATAAAATTCCTAGTTCTTTAATGTTTAATTATCTTTATTAGATAATTACTACTCGATTTTGTAAAATATCAAACAATATTAAATGTCAGACAGACTAGTTAAACGGTTTTTAGATCATGTGAAGTAAATCCAAAGTATAAATGTTTGTTGACATTAAATTACACAATTCATGTACTCCTTACTTTCTAAAAACAATTCATTGCATAGATAATAAACTTTAACTTATTTTATTTTAGCATTAATACAAATATAATATGCACCATATATATGAATTAGCAATATAATATTATTCTAAAAGTAATAATCTTATACATACTACTATAATATTATGAAAACTTCGCGTGACACGAACACCGTCCTTAGTAGACATAGATTGCAATTCAAAAATCATTTTTTTATTCCAATCAGTGATGTTAATAGCGGCGCTATCACGCGCTATAGCGGAGGTGCGGAGCGGATGACCAGACTGGCGCTACCAGACGACATGTAGCATCGCGTTTGGGTGTTGCGGACATAGCGGGCGCTTAAGCATTGGTGCGGAGAAGGTAATGGCGGTCGCTATAGCGGCGAATTTTTGGGGTAAATCAGATGGCATGTTTCTGCTAGGGTTTTTTGCGTTAAATTCTTAAGCGCAGAGGTAGAAGGGATAAACTAGACTTTTAAAACAAAATATTAACCGACTTAAACCCTTAACACTTTCGTAAAAGCTCAAAACGGCTCTGTGATGAGTTCTTCTCCGAGAAAGCTCTGTTTCTGCTCTGCTATTGATTCTTCTCCAACAACGACACATGTTGCCCTCCTCTTCCTTCATTCTTCTCAGTAGTATCTTCTGCTGCAACATCTTCTTCTCCAACCTTTGCTGCAGAGAGTCTTCTTTTCTTCTTCTTGTATGGAGTCTAGTCAGTCTACTGCCATGTTTAATCCCACATGAGAACACCTTGACCCAGCTTGGAAGTGGAACAGTTTGATTGTTAATATATCAAGGCTTAAACTCTTAAACTAAAACCCTGTTTAGTTAATTATATGTGTGTAGTTAATTATGTATTATACTTAAAAGTAGTCTGAATAGCGGTCATCCCGCTATCCGCTATAGCGTTTTCAGGGCTAGCCGCTACGCTCCGCTATCCGGGATCGACAACACTGATTCCAATAAGATTCATGTGTACCATTTAAACTCTTTATCTTCAAATCATCCGATGAAATGTTATCGTCCTTATTATTTTCAAATAATTTTACTTTGATTTGTCATTTCTTACACTTTAATGTATACATACTTTTTTATAGAGCCCTTCAATTATAAAATCAAAGTCATTTCTTCATTGTCTAAACTTAGAATGTAATAGATTTAAATGTTATCGTGTATGTATTGTATTTATGGAATTCGCCCCGCCACAGAGCAAAGATAGACAGACCTAGAATTGATCCGAAAAGCAGCAGGCAATGGACTCCGGAGATATTCATTGAATGTGTTCCACTCTTCCACAGAAACTATCCCTTGTTCCTATCATTCAAAACCGCATCACAGCATATTTCAACTTTACCACACAAAGCAAAATTAAATAAGCAAAAATGTAAGGTGTTAACACCATAACCACTACAGACCTTGTAATACTCGTCGAAAGCGGTGTTCTTGGTGGCGAAAGGCTCCCAGGAAATATTTTTTCCGTTGTTCTCTCGGACGTCTGAGGTGGTGGAGCTGTCCGACGGCTGTGAAGAATCGAATTTACCTCGTTTCCATACATTATCTCTGCTTTGTCTGAAGTGTTTCCTCTGAGTCCGGGACCTGCCCCTGCCTCCCATTTCTGTCCCCTGCTATCCACGGGAGCACCACTACTCCAAGAAGCAGAAAGGCGGAAAAGAAGTAGCTTATAGTCTTATAGATTTCTGAGTTTTATAAACCCGCGCATCCTTTGTGGGCTGAACTGTAGATACCAGGCCACCTTTATACTTGGTCCAAACTCCAAAAGGGGGAATCTCCCACCCCAAGAGCCTCCATACTCCGACCCGACAGGATTTTTGGGAGGATGTTAATAGATGGTAGGCCTTTTTCCCGTGCGCACCAGAGGTTCAGCCTTATTTCATGTTCTGTGACCTCAACACGGCCGTTGCGGGTTTCGAACCTTGGTCACTTGGTCCAAATTTTCCACCACTGAACCAACCGAGTATAACTAGAACGATTCAAATAAAAAAATTGTGATCTATTTAGACCCAAAAAATATATAAAAAATTCAACTATTGCACAAGAATAATCTCAACTATTACTGATCAGCTTGAAATAATCCAAAATACGATAGTACCAACTATTAAAAAAATCAAAAAACTCCACTAGCTTTTAAATATTAGAAGTTATCTACGTGTTATTATAAGTCATTAGAGTATGGGAAAATTCCCAAAATAGGAGTAAAAAAGTTTGAAAATTCCAAAATAGGATTGTCATGCTTTTATTCCCAAAATAGGAGTAATTACTGCCAAGTTTGGAAAATACTGCCATGTTTAAAGTCTAGTACTGTCAAAATATGGTAGTAATTAGTCCTATTTTGGGAATACAAACATGAGAGTCCTATTTTAGAATATACAAACGTTTTAGTCCTATTTTGGGTAATTTCTCTTAGAGTATTTCGAGAAATTTTGCGAAAATTGATACTTTGAATTTTTCTAAGCATACCCACTAATAATTGGATTTTTGGTCCTTTATTGAGTCATATTGTGTATTTTTTTTAAACCCGGTGTTAAACCAAAAAACCATAAAGGCATTTGGGGTAGGGGCCACGGGATTTTTGGTCCTTTATTGAGTCATATTGTGTATTTGATATTATCACCGCCACACAATTACTTATGTAGTCATATGATTTATAGTGTGGTGATTATAATAACACAATAGACCATGTGATTTCATACGGTATTCATATATGGTGGTGATAATTGAGGGTCGAAAAATGGACGCTCTTAAACTTTTTGGGAAAAACTACAACAGGACGGTCGGTAGGAAATAGAAAGTACGAAAATGTAAAGGGTTAAGAGAATTAGTTGCCACAAATAGCATCATTGTCATTTGAATTAGATTTGCCTTTTGTAGACGTTTTCAAATTGTAATTGTCGACTATTAAATGATATAAGATAAATAATGACTAATTAATTACAACATTAATATGAAATTAAATAAATAATTAATTGGAATAATGACCCCAATATTACACCCCATGTTTCTAATGACAAATATATGACTCTTTTTTTACTTTCCAAAAAATTGACCCAATTAATAATGATTGGGCCCAAATGTCCCTCGAATGACCTACCCGTTCTACTCCCCTGCTACATGGACGGACAATGAGCTCTTCAGATGCAATCTATCCACTCTCGCCGCATACCTTCTATCGCGCATCCGGCCGCCGCTCGTACCTCCCACCGCGCACCATCTATCTTCGTTCTATAGCCCAACCGCCACCGCCGATGTTGCCCAGCTGCTCTGCTGCCTTCGTCGCCGCACTACCTTCGCATCTGCCGCCGCAGCTTTCCAATCTTCTTCTTCTCTTTTTTTCCAGCTAGAGCACCGATTTGACAATTATTTCAGTCATCTTTATCGCTCGATCTACTATTGGTGTAACACGTGGCTTCAAATTGGCGACAATGGCAAGTTTGATGTGTGTGCTACCAATCGAGGCTACCGGTGGGCAGGGTGTGCGCGAGGTTAGAGGAAATTGAGCTAACGGATGGGGGGTGGGGATGACAGTGGCAGTGGGGGGAACTCCAACTCTGGGAGGTGTTGAGGCCATTGCAGCGGAAAGGAGGAGGAGTTCGGGCTGAGGTGTGGTGGTTGGACGATTGGAAAGGTGGCTGGGGAGGCTAGCCGCCAAAAAGGGTAGGGTAGGGGTGGTCACTGACATAGTGGTTGGTTATTGGGGTGGCAGCGGCGGTTCACTGGCGTATTGTGGGTTGCCGGCGGTTGCCGACAGTGGTTGGCGTGGTGGCCGGCAGGTTGTGGTCGGAAAATTTTCCGGTGACACAGTGACACGTTTCGCATCGACAGTGACATCCTAAAGTGACACGAAATCTGGTAGTAACATTCAAAAGTGACATAAATTACTAATAGTGACATACAATAATGACACACTGTTAGTGACATCATGTTTTTTTCAAATAAGTGACCTTCTTAGTCACGTTTTTGTCCTTTTTAAAAAATGGTCACTTTTTCGGAAATCAGTTTTAATTTGTTAATACTCAAGGAAAAAGCCCTAATTAATTAGCGCATTGATTCTCCCATCGTTACACTTCCAACTGGGTTGGTAAGCAGGTTTCTCACTGGGTTGGAAGGTAGGATCCCCGCTATGCAGGAGGCATGCTCCCCGTTGGACTGGATGGCGGGCTCCCTATTGGGCAGAAGGCAAGCTTCACACAAGGCTGGATGCTAGGCTACATGCTAGACTATAAGGTAGACTCTCGATTGTGTGTTTACTTCACATGTATTACTAATCTAACTTTGTGTTTGTGTTTAGCAGCGAAGTTAACACATCCTTAGGACACGTTTACTTCACAGGTTACTAAACAATGCTTGTAACGACTTGTGTTAATCAGCGGCGCGTAAAATAAGCAGTGATATAAGCCCATATTTACTTCGCATGATTTAAAACACCGTTTAACATTAAAATGTCCAAAATAACCATATACATATATAGACACACAGACATTCGTGTACACAAGTATATAATACACGGAGACCACCCGTTCGCGTACCCCTAACCCCCACCCCTACATGTACCCCTACCCTACACCTTACACCTAATTCCAACCCTACCCCTACCACGATCTTACCCCCTACCCCTACTCCCTACCACCCCGTACGCGTATCCCCATAACCCTACCCCCTACCCGTACCCCCACCCTATACCCTTACGCCCTTACCCCTACCCACCCCTAACCCTTACCTACCTCATACCCTATTGTGGCCATACCCCCTCCCCTTTATAACCTACCCCTACCCCTACCCTAACCGCTTGTACCATATCCCTACCCTTACACTGACCAAGAACCCTTAGGTATGTTGGGGTAGGGAGTAGGGGTGGGAGTACGAGCCCACTGGTTAGGGTAAGGGGTAAGGGTACGGGTACGTGTAAGGGTAAGGGGGTAATGGTCAGGGTGGAGTCAGGTGGGGTCGGGTAGGATCGAGGTAGGGGCAGGTGGGTAGGGGTGGGGTGGGGTAAGGGGTATGGTCAGGGTAGGGGTAAGGGTATCTGGGAGGGGTATGGGGTAGGTTACGCGTACGAGTACGGGAAGGAGTAGGGGGTACGAGTGGTAGATGTAGGGTAAGGGGTAGGGGTATTTTAGGGGTAAGGGTAATGGAAAATTCGGAAACTGAAAAAGCTTAAAGTGCCGCTTAATTACTACATGGGGAGTGGTATGCTTAGTAAGCGGTACTTTAAGCACGTGTTCTGGTTAGTAAGCAGGTTTTTAAGCAGTCTGCGTGTTTACTTCACATGTCTTACTAACCTAACTGTGACTTCAGTAGTGAAGTAAACATGTCATTAGTGTTGGCCCCTGTTGATGTTTATTCATCTCGGTCCAAGGGCTCAATAATTTCATTTGGACTTTCGTTGGATATTATGGATTGAGTATAGTTTGGTGGATCAGTTATTTGTTTTGTGGGAACAAGTCATAGCTAAAAGGAAGGAAAGGTAAAGTGGGCTGAGTTCTATTAATGCCTTAGAATGATTACAGCACACCCTTACCAAGCTGAGCGTCGATCCCTTATTCTAAGCTAAGAGTATACATAAAAAGTATAGAGAAAGGCTAAAGCTATTGTTGATGGTGATGGTGATGTGATGGGTCTTGAGTGGCTAGCCTTCAACCATAAAATCTTCCATATCTGGTGCATTAATTGTGTTTCCCGCCAAGCACATGCTTTCTCGCTAATTGTTTTTGGGGGGTGGGGTGGCTCAGTTGATTTAGTCAGGGACCTCGTGTCGCGTGGCACATGTTGTGCGGGTTGTTCCGGACACTCCTAGGGCCTTAACAGACTTCTAGATTCATTTATCCGCAAGCGTATTGGGCTTATCCTGTACTGGGCCAATTACCCCAACACAAGTCTCTCACTTCTGATGTTTCGAGCGTGCGCATGACATGAGGAAGTATATGAAAAAACAGCGCTAAGCTACGCGCCTCCAATGCTCCTGGGTGACGGTTGTCTTGTTGGTTCCCGATTTTCTGAAGTGACGATTATGGCGGTTGGTTCAACTCCCGAGAGTTTCATGATGATTACCTGACTCTCTGCCTCCACATGACACATGTCATTGCCACGTGTCGCTCGGTGACTGGACCTTCTTTCAATGACTAACTCTTTAAAAACTCCTTGCAAAGACTTGGCTCAGGTTTTTGAAAATCAATTTTCTCTCTCTAGACTGCTCCCACTTCTCTTTACGTTGGAAACCCGCCATCAGCTCTTTCTCTAACAAGAAAACATGTATTCCTTTTCCCTTAATCCATTTCTTCTCCGATGTCACTTTCTCCAGAACACAAAACAGATCCTCTAGCCTCAGAGAATCCCAGACGCGCGTCTGCCACCTGTGTTGATGATACGGTCCTCAGGGACGCTAGCGATGCTTCCACACGAGATGAAGCAGCGCAAGCCCCACCTGATGGTGGGAACGGTTCCGGGGATGAGGCTTTCTCCGACAATGACATGGTCATTTAAAAGGCCGATCCTGTTGATGCACAACTCCATGAGGTTCTTCTTGAAAATTCTCGAGGTGCAGCCACTTTATTTTGGATCATTATATGGATCTGATCCCAATCTATATGCCTCCACCTGCCGAATACAGCTTACACGGATTCGGTAGTGATGTTAGTTTTCTCGCACTTAAAAATAGATTGTAGTAAAGGGTGTAAGTACGAGTATCGTCTCCACAGGGAC